AAAAAGAGGAGTCCTAAGGATGTAGCAAGATCCCAGAGGACATTGCAGGGCCTCTAGAAAGGAAACTCTCCACAAAACAGCCCTCTTCCCCCACAAAAGTCATATTCCTCACAGATTTGGACCTAATCAAATTGCTTCTCTCAAGAGTGAGCCAGACTAGCAACAATTCTTCACTTTCACTGAGCACCAACTATGTGACAGATGCTGCGCTAACTGTAGAGCACATGAAGATGAACATGACATTCTCTGCTTACAAGGAGTCATCCAGGAGAGGAAGACAAAAGCAAAGAGAGAAGGGCATGAAAATGTTCTCAGTGTGGCAAAGGTGAGAGCAGCCAATATGCTTATGAGCACAGCTGTTGCCACCAGATGGCCTGAGTTCAGCTCTGCCACTTACTTACCAGCCATGTGGTTGCCTTATCAGTTTCCTCATCTGGAAATCAGGATAACAAGACCACCTACCTCATAGCACTGTATCTGGCACTAGGTAAGTTAGTGTGCACAAAGCACTTAATACAATGCCTGGCACATAGTACACAGGGAACAAATGTGAGCTATTACAGAGACAAGAGTTCTCACAGGGTGTAACAGCACAAGGGAAGGGATGGTCAGTCAGGACTGTGGGGCAGGAGAGGAGGTGGTTCAAGGTAGTACATGGGACCAGCAGCTGGTGTAATGGCTGTGTCACTGGACTCCCATGTAGTCAACCAAGGTTTGAGCCCCGGACCTGGTGGCTTAAACTCACGCCAGGCACATGTGCATGCATGCCCAAGATCCCAAGAGAAGGGATTGCGGCGTGGCCATCCCCCCTGGGGTGATTTCTCGCTTTCTGTCTCTCTGTCTCTCTGTCTTTCTGTCTAGCACATGCGCCCTATAGCAAAAAAAACTCTCCAAAAAGGAAAAAAAAAAAAAAAGGCAGCACAGAAAAGGGAGCTCTTTTTTTTCTTTTTAAAATTGCCACTGACAATGTGTACTTTCCAGAGAGAGGGAGGGAATATGAGAAAGCACCCATCAGGGGATGGGGACCAGCAGTTAGCATAATGGCTATGCCGCTGGACTCCCATATAGTTGACCATGGTTCAAATCTCAGACCCGGTGGCTTAAAACTCACGCTGGATGTTGTGTGCGTGCGTGCCCAAGATCCTGAGAGGAGAATGGAGAAGGGATTGTGGCGTGGACATTCTCCCAGGGGGCGATTT